CCCTGAGTCAGAACTTTCAATAGCTTCCTGAAATTATAGATTTCAGCCAACATGGCACATTTATTTACTTTATAGAAAATTACAAGACCAGTTTTGCTTTTTGGAGGAAAGAAGTCATGTTTATGAAACAAAATCAAATAGACTATAAGGAAAAGTAAGCTATGGCAGTATTATCTTTCTTACACATTTTATACATGTCAATTCAACTTGTAGTTATGGATTTAGGTACCAAATTGACGTGGCAAGTCACCTTTCCTGTACGTGTTGCTTAAATCCTCAACTAAAAATTGCAATTTTAACCTCGGGTTGCCATCTCCTCCTTAGTCACACATATGAATAAATGCTGGAAAAAATAATATTCTGACAGAAAAGGAGGTAGAAAATGCTAATGTAGCAACTTACAATTTTAACTCAGCACCTCCACTATCTAGTTCATATTTTAATACTCATTTCACCCACTGTTAACCATTTTTCAGTAAACTGAGGCTCAATCTAAAGGAGTCCCCCTCACTGTAGCAAAGCAATGTACACATGAGACAGCACTGAATAGTTTTTCCTCAAATTTAATGTTTTAAAGAAGTACAACTGTAATTACTAATACTATTATAGTTTTATATATATGTTAAAGTTCCAAGGCTATATATGACTACCAAGTAATATCAGTAAGCATTCCTATCCTAATAGTCAAGCAAATAAAATTGCTTTTTTGAGAAAAAAAATATTTGAAACAGTTACATGGAGACTTAAAGACAACTTACATTTTTCAACAAGGCACACATAATTGTGAAAATCTTTTACCTTCCCAATTTAGTACAAGTTCAAAGCTTAACTAATTCTAATGTTTAAAATGTGTTTCTTTCCTCTGGTTCAAAATGAACTCACAAACCCTTCCAATTAACAGACTTTTAAAACCTACTCAATTATGACTGATGATAATTGTAGGGGTGGGGGAAGAAGTTCTGTCATCCCCCAAATTTTAGAAACTTGATGTTTACCATGACTTTAGATCTTGCAAACACTAACAATTAAGATAATTCAGGCATTTATTTTTATATTTAATCAAAATTCTACTCCAGTTGGGGGAGGAGGAGAAGGAGTTTGTGGTTTAATGGGTATAGAGTGTCACTTTTTCAAGATGTGATTGTTTCACAACAATCTGAATTTACTTAACACTAGTGAACTGTACACTAGAAAATGGTTAAGATGGTAAATTTCATGTTATGTTTTACCATAAAAGAAATGCAAAAACTTCTATTGCAAAGTTCAATTTTTTTTCAAAGAGGAGTGTAAGAGATCTTTTTTTAAAAATATATTTTATTGATTTTTTACAGAGAGGAAGGGAGAGGGATAGAGAGTTAGAAACATCGATGAGAGAGCAACATCGATCAGCTGCCTCCTGCACACCCCACACTGGGGATGTGCCCGCAACCAAGGTACATGCCCTTGACCGGAATCGAACCTGGGACCTTTCAGTCCGCAGGCCGACACTCTATCCACTGAGCCAAACCAGTCAGGGCCCAAAGTTCAATTTTTACACAAATTATTACTATAAAATACTTTAGACATTCCGAGAAGATAAGTGCTTTTCCTTTTGGATTTTTTTTTTTAAGCAAGCTGTATCAAAGCCTATAATTTCCAAAGCAATTGTCAATTAAACTACACTGGAAACTGGTTGAAAGGCCCTTTCTATTATCCAATTAAATGCACTCTCTCCACTTACTTTGATAAAATCTACATGATTCCCTTTTCCCTCTAATTCAAACACTTGACATTTCTTTTTTACTTTGGCAACACCTACTGTTTTCCCTATCCTACCCCATCACTAAGTCTCTTAGTTCATAAATTTAACTAATTCCTAGTCCAAAAGGGTCCAAAATTGATAATAAACAAAAACGGCAATTGGGCAACACAGACTAGAGAGTATATTTTTATCATGTAAAAATGAAGCAAGCTTTGAAATTTGAATTGGATAAATCTTAAGTAACATGCATTTCAATATGCTAGAATAGTCTTACAGGCTAAAGCCATCAAATATATAAATTTAAGAATTATTTTCAACATTATCAATTAATTTTATGCCTCAGTAGCTAGCTGGCCAATTTGCAATGTTTAAAATTAATAACCAAGCATAATTTGGCCAGCTAAACTAAACACTTGTCTAATATATTCCTATGCTAACATGAAATGATCTTTTCTTGAAAAACGATCTTGCTCCCAACAAAATTAAGTATGTTTATAGTATAGTATAAGCAGTAACAATGTTAAATTATGTGAAGAAAAACAATTGGAATAGCACCACCATCTGGTAAGTTGTATGTTTTGGGTAACAGAGCTGACAATCTTAGAAGAATAAGAGAAAATGTTGTAGGAGTGAGGGGGTAGAGAGAATCCAAATACTACTTGATAACTCTTATAAAACATTAGGAAATGCTATCAATACCTTTGGATCCCTCTTTGTCTATAGATTACTTCAAATATATGACTGCATGATAAATTCTGTATGTGCTAAGGTGCTGACCATTTTTTTCAATGTTGTATATCTAGCCCCTGAAGCCCAATATATTTTTTAATGAATGGATATTAGTTTTGTGTTTTTTTAAAATGATTCCAGGAAAAGTAAAAGCTCTTTGAGGTGTAAGATGAAGAGATGGTAATGAGAAGGAAACGCACCTAACTGGGAAAGTACTGCTAAGCGACATATATAATAAGAGGTAGCAGTTTCACAGTTAGAGGAAAGTCACGTAAGTTCCTATTCTCTCTCATGATCCCCAAATAAATTTAAAATAATTTTTCAGGTGGTTGAAAATGTGACTAGAGAAACATTTTCTATTCGTAAGTAAATTTCAAAGTGGTACAAATACAGAAAATCACAAGTGCATAGCACTATCACTATAGTGACTACCTTTTGTAATAGTTTGTGTTATTATATTTTTAATATGATGGAAATAAACTAATCTGGAAGATGAAATTGCCTTTTAGGAATATAAGTTTTAGCACTGCAGCTCAGAAGACAAATAAAAAGGATTTAAGTAGAGCTCTAGACCATAAAATCCTCTGGTTGGCCAAACTATGCGTGAGTCAGCCAGGTGTTCCCTCTTACCAGCGGATCTACTGGAAAAGAGATGGGCGGACTAGGGCATGGAAGTAAAGGAAAATCCTGACTTACACTGTCTTCAAATCTAAAAGAGCATAGTTTGTCTCGTTAGGTGAACATCATCAGTCAGATGTTTTATCATTTTATAACTTCAAAATATGGCTTGAAAATAGCCTCAGTGGCCCTTTATTAGATAACTGAGTAGAGTCAATAAATTTTCAAATGTAAATTTATAAAAATTTTACCATTCTGAATGATATTACTCAGCTAAACACAGATATGGAGTTACCAAGACTATAAAATCAACCAGCAAAGCTCACCATTGTTTTCTCCAGCACTTGCAATGGCAGAAGCCATTAAGTAGTCAGAATCATGATGCTCTGAGGGCTAGAGACTTTATACTTTCAAAGTTAGTTGTTGTAGCAGAAAAAAATGACGTAAGAATCAGATTCAGAGGGGGAAAAACTACCAAAAAGATAACTATCCTTAGGAGTAAGCTTATACACAGTATTTAGTAGACACTATTGTAAACAGCTGGTATCTTAATAATCTAGCAGCAATGAACCCCAAAACTCTTATTTATGTGTATACACATCCTAGATAAGATTACTCATTAAAAGGACAGAAAATTATTAGATGCTCTAAAGTCAAAGTTTAAGTTTAAAAAATTTACGGGTAATTGGACATATTTCTGTAAATGTCCTAGTTACTCTTTGTAAAGTATTTATTTTTAGGTTATTTACTATGTCTTGGGTATTGTTGGCAATTTAAATAATGTCCTTGTCTGTAGGTATAAAGAGAGACTGTTTTCTTTATAGGAAGCCTCACTATCTGAGAAAGAATAGAAGCAAGGCCTAGAATCAGTATCACTGTCAGAATTAACAGATACAGAGAAGAAAGAACTGCTGCCTTTGGGCAATGCATTATCCTTCTCAGATCACGAGGGTATTGCTGTTGAGTATATTAGAAAGGCTGAATCGAACTTCAGAGACCAACCAGGGTATTATTGTTTCACTGGACAGATCAAGCCTGGATAAGTAACCACAAGAAAAACTGAGGTATACTTTTCACAGGCATTTTTTTAAAGGCTAACTGAACAGAACAGTGTATAAATTAACATAAGAAAGGCAATCATTAACAGCAGTTAATAGATACTCTCTGACTGAATAATTTTTCCTCCCTTCAGTTCCCCACTATAATTTTTCCTTTTCATGTCTACCCATCATTTTGACACTGGCAACTGGATTCAAGTTTCCTTTTCCCTTTAAATCTAGAAAAATAAGCTAAATGCAAAGCCATTATTCTCTCATTCTATGCTTCCATTTACTCTAAGGCAGCGGTTCTCAACCTGTGGGTCGCAACCCCTTTGGGGGTCGAACAACCCTTCCACAGGGGTCGCCTAAGACCATCCTGCATATCAGATATTTACATTACGATTCATAACAGTAGCAACATTACAGTTATGAAGTAGCAACGAAAATAATTTTATGGTTGGGGGTCACCACATGAGGAACTGTATTTAAAGGGCCAGAAGGTTAAGAACCACTGCTCTAAGGATTCAGAAACAATCATTTGGATAACTTTATGTTACCTTAAAAAAAAATTCACTCTTTAATATTCCCCATATGTGACAGAATAGTTTGACTTGCCCCTTTTATTTGATGCATAACTTTTCTGAGTACCTGTGTCAACTCACTGTATCAAATTATGATAAACTGAAGGATAGCATATTATAACGAAATGTATCTTCTGAGGTCTAACAAATTTATAAAGGATTTTTCCTCCTTAATAGATTTTCCCCTCAGCCAATAATAAATTATCTATGAAGTACATGGATTTGATGTTTCAAATTAAAATTAAAATAAAAACATAAAACCAAACAAAAAAACACACACGACTTCAAACACTGTTTTGTAGAGTTATTTTGTTCTGGTACATTTACAGTTTAATTATACTCTAGTAAAGAAACTATAATATTCAAAATTAATTCATTAGAACCTCCAACTAGTTTAAAGGCTTACTAAGATCTCATGACCAAATACCTTAGCTAACAAAACACACTGAGTTTCTTGTTAATACAAAAGAATCCTTCGTTCAATAGCCTTGCGACAGATTGGACATTCACTCATTCGGTCTCCACAGAGTTGGCACGTTCCATGGCCACAGAGGAAAATCATATTCTTTAGACGATCCAAACACACTGGGCACATTGTCTGGATGGGAGATAATAAATAAAATAATAAATGCTGAGACATTTTATATTTTGAAAGTGTAGCATGTGACAACTCTGTAACATCATTTTCTTTTGTTTTAGTTAAATAATCTTTTGTTGCTTAGAATTTTTTTTAACTTAAAAAAAATTATTTTTAATTGAATGCCCAGCAGGAGAATTTGTGGCCGGTCAACCTTTTTCCATATGCCCAATCTCCATATGGCTGCTAGTGAAGATTTAAAATAAAAGAGGAGAGAGTTATTCAGATGCTTTCTCTTGGTAACCCTGAAGAGGCCCTGAAAAAAAAAAATCCCATCATTCCTCAGAAAATGAATTGTGTCTTGGTGTTTAAATACTTTAATGATGAAACATGGTAATAAAGATAATTTAAGGAAGAAACTTCTTTGAATGGCAAACTTTGGATAAAAGTAGAGCTGAGTTATTCTTTTAGGATCCATATTGGGTGTCATTATTTATTATAAAAAGAATTTTAATTCACAATCTTATCTAATAAAAGAGAAACATGCAAACTGACTGTACCTCCGCTACACCCACAAGCCATGCCCACTGGCCAATCAGGAGCAAGTATGCAAATAAAACCAACCAAGATGGCGGCGGCCACGGAGCTGGAGCAAACAGAAGGCTTGGGTTGCCCCCGGCGATGGAGGAAGCCAAGCTTCCCGCCTGCCCTGGCTGGCTGTAAACTCCGCTCAAGGCTACAAAGTTTCAATTATAGAAGATAAATAAATCCCAGATACCTGCTTCCAGCCACTGTGGCCTCAGATCAAGGAGGGTCTGGGAGCCTGGGTTGTCCGGGGCCGTTGCCAGCCAGCAAACAGCCATCAGCCACTCACCCAGGCTGGCCAGGCACCCCAGTGGGGACCCCCACCCTGAGGGGGTGTGGCCAGCTTGAAAACAGCCCTCAGCCCCTCACCCAGGCTGGCCATGCCCCCCCCCCAACAGGGACCCTCAGCCCATGAGGGCGTGGCCGGCCTGCAAACCACCACAGGCCCCTCGCCCAGGCCGCCCCATGCCCCAAGGGAACCACCACCCTGATCTGGGACACCCTTCAGGGCAAACCAGCCGGCCCCCACCCGTGCACCAGGCCTCTATCTATACTAATAAAAGGGTAATATGCTAATTAGCCTGGGAGACCTTCCAGGAGACCTTCCGGACATTCTTCTGGACAAAGCCATGGTGATGGGGCCGAGGTAGAGGCGGTAAGAGGCCAAGAGGGGAGGGCAGTTGTGGGTGATCAGGCTGGTGGGGGGGCAGGGCCGTTGGGGGTAAGCAGACCAGCAGGAGGGACAGTTGGGGGCAAGCAGGCCATCAGTGGGGGTCAGTTAGAGGTGATCAGGACAGCAGGGGGGGCAGTTTGGAGTGAGCAGGCCAGCAGGGGGGCAGTTGGG